TTAAAGAAATAAATTGACAAAACGATGTGATGAATCTCAGAGTCAACATTTGCTACATGCAGAGTATCAGATCTTAATTAATTTCTTACAATGATATATATATATATATATATATATATATATATATATATATATATATATATATATATGAAAGTGGAAAATTCACATGAATTCTATTTGATTATTTACAACATATAATTTTCAGTGTTTTTGTGATACTGTCCACCCTGGGTTAGATAGTTTCATTTATAATACTTTTATTATTCAACTGGACAACACTTCATCAACGCCTATTTCAGTATATATGAAAAATCAGTTATATCTAATTCTTCTTACATAATCAATCAAAAATATTGTCAACTATCAATAATTTACATCAGTCATTATTCCCATTTTTCCTTCATATACTAAAATCCCCCATTTATAGGGTTCATCAGAATCCGATTTATAATAAAAATGAAAGTGATTTCTTTATAAATAAAAACAAAACATAAAAACCCATGATATAGTGTGATTATAATAATAATAATTATTATTACAATTATTATTATTGTCCATTATCCCACCGATAGTATTGATAGTAATAATGATAATGACAATAATAATAATATTCGAAAGAACCATAGCAATAAATAATATGTTGTTCTATATGAAAATGATTAATAGAATAGATTTTAACTAGTACAATTTAATTTCCTTGTTAAATATAATAAAATGATTATAATCAAATCAACAAGTCATTTATTTATGTAACTAGTTGTTATCTTGTTGTTTATTAATAATTAACATAACTATGTGTTTATATATAAAGGAAACAATAGGAAAAAGAGTGGGGGAAGCCGGGAAGAGAGAATGGACGAAACAAAAGAATCATTTATTTTTCTTTTCTTTTTTTAGAAAAAAGCATTTTTGCACATTTTTTTATTTCAATAGTCGATAATAAAAAAACTGCAGATAACTGTGTATGATGCATTTTGTATCGATTTTCAGAGAAAAGAAACTATGTAATGTATATTTATGTATAGATTTGAAGAATAAACAAAAAAAAAAATGTCATAATGTTTACTGTCAACAAGAGAAGTGACTGAAAAGTATTTGATAAACAATCATATATTAAGACTAATAATAAAGATTCATATTTGTAAGATTCATAAGAAAACTTTATATTCAGCAAAGTTGTCAAGTCAGTTATTATTCATTGATTTTAAATGATTCTGTCGTAATAATAATTACAATATCATTTGATTTGAAATATGTGAATCACTGAACTTTAGTTTATCAATAATTTACTTAATGCTTGGTTAACATGTCAATAATTTCAGATCTTATGTAAGAGCATTTCAAATTTTCATTAACTTTGTAAACAATATGGTGTGTATGATGCACTACTGGACTTATACATTTGCCAGTCAAGTATATATAAATATAAATATATATATAAGCTCTTTCTGTCAGTGATTAGAGTGTAGGACTAACATAAATGTAGGAAAAATAAATTCAATCGTATTATTTTATATTGATTATTGCCCATATCTGTCTGAGTCAGGGTAATTGAATCAAATAAACTGGGTTACTCATAAGATAAGTCTTCATTCTGACTAATTTAAGTTCATATTATTTGCCGTATGAAATTTGCTTTATGCCATATGTTAGAATTAATAATTTCAAAGGGAGTTATACTGTTTAATGCAGTTGATTATGCAAACACTTGAAATGAGGATTTATGTTCGACTAAATTTCTGTTCTAAAATAAAATGAAGCGTATCTATAATTTTTGGTTATACAGAAGACAGAATGAAATTTCAATTTGTGCGTACAGTAATTGTATGATAATGGCTAAAATAACTGTCAATTTGCGTGTACAATTCAATCTCTTGTTTTAAGAGCAGGTTAAAGTGCAGAACCAAATTTCTTAAAAGCAATAAAACATTTCTCAACATACTAAGTATAATTCTCAGAATGCTTTATTGAAGTATTTGAAATAAATAAAAAATGTTCTTTGTTACTAGTTTAAGGGGGATTATTATCAACATTACTATCAACATAATTACTACTTTGAAGTTACCTAAATATCGAGTCAATTAACTTATAGGTAAATGATTGAATTAAGTATCTTTTCAAGACTTTGTCTAGGATCGATTTAGTTCTATACTGAGTATTCAACTAAATCAATAGAATTTCAATTTCACTTTATCATTTCATTAGAGTGATAAATAAATATACTTGGTAAATTTCAAATAAAAATCATATGTATGATTCGAATAGTAGATAACTATATTTAGTAAATATTCATTCAGATATTTGTAATAACTAAGTTATTAAGAATAAAAACAGCCAATGTATTGTAGATTCGAGGTAGAAATAAAGAAAAAAACTGACAATCAATCAATACATTTATACATATATATTGTGATGATTAATTGAACTCAAGTCGATTACTTAATCATCATTCAAACTGTCTATAAATTGATGGATGTCTAACAAAATTAAATTTATTAAAAAAAAATTAATACTGAACTAATAAGGAAAAGTATCCATAGTTTCAACAGAAATAATTTAAATGGGGGGGTTGAAATATGTTTCTTAGTTATAACTAATATTTGCTAGTTCAGTCAGCTTCGTTTAGTCAACTTGAATAGTTTAGTTCGAAATATATTGATTAGTTCTCAGTGATTTTAGCTGATTTCTAGTGAAACTGTAGATCATTTCTATTCATATTAGTACGGGGGATCGAACAATGTTAATATCTAACTTCAGACGATCCACGATGTTGCACAACCCTCATCCACTGCCTGCAGTAAATAAATGTTACACACATGACACAGACTAAACTCCACTGGTCACGGTATCTCATCCGATCTCTAGGATTTAAGTCTTCAGGCTAGTTACTAGTGAGCACATAATTATCATTAGTTTGGGGGAGTTTGAGAGACTGTAGAATATCTACGGTTTAAATCAAGAACTGCTCTTAGCAAGAAAATCCATATGATCGTCTAGTGTCTCCAGATTTCCAATGGTGGTCTAAATGGAATCAGTTCGTGATTTAATAACTGTGGACATTATATTTTTGATGAAAAATTTGACAATTTCATTAGATTAGCATAAGTTGACTTTAATGAATGATTTTGAAGATGATTTTTCGCTGAACCAATAAATTTCCAAGACTATACAACTACAATCTTTTCATGGATAATAATTATGAGTATCAAGTTTAGATGAATGTGTTTTTAAACAACTAATTAATCAATGATAACAAATATATTGCATGATTAACGTTCACTTTATATGTATTTGTATATATATTTGGAAGCGGTATATTAATACTACTTAGATTCGAACGGTAATGAATTGAATTATCAAGAATGGTATAGTTGATTAATTATCTGATAACAGCTCATTAATAGATTCTTAATTTTATTTACCTAGAACGAGGAACTATAACTTGCCATTACTGGTACCATACAAAGAAAAACACGACGCTGCATTGCTGCTATTTTTCTGTCAACTTTTAAAGTACTTCCTAAGAGACCTTATTACAGATTATTTGCCAAATTTAAATCATCCGCTTATTTGATTTGTCACATTGAATACTAACCAGAAAATGTACCAAAACAGTCATTATAGTCTATTCTGTAGATAAAATGCGATCAAAATTATGCATATATATATATATATATATATATATATATTCCCTTTCCTGTTTTCTGGTGTATGTGCTGACTTATTTAAAGGCATGAAGCTAATAGGAAATCTTAGTACAATGAAATCTACCATCCAGCAAAAAATGTCATCAGTGGGCTTTTTGTTAGATATAATTGAACATGAGTAAATGTGAAATTTATTCTGTGAGGAATTATTGTCTTTAATTTTATTATGTACTTATCCAATATTTGGTCTATGATATTTTTATATTACGTGATTGTAAGTTTATATTTGATTCATCAGCTGTTGACATAAACTTAAAGGTCTTGTATTACAAATGACCTAATTATGTACAGATTGAGATTTCCTGTTTATGGTGCGTTATGGTCTTACAATTGATCTGTTATCAAGTGAGTTTTTTGAGTCACAATAATAGAAGGTAAGCCGACTTTCTGTTATCGTGTCCTGATTGAGCGTTGAAGAATGAAAACATTGATAAGGAACAATATGCGTTGGGATATCCGGTTGTTGGTTATGGTCCTTGATTTTATTGATCAGGCGGAAGTTAATTATATTTTTGGCATAAGATAAACTTATCATTAGGGGACTCTACAATCCACTGACCCCACTAAATGGGTATAGATAAGTTGAATTTATAACAATATTTACCTGAAAAACGTATATTCGATACTGTATTTTGTTGTAAATGTATATCTTAAATATATTCCAAACTTCAATACTTCCCCGGCTGATATCATTTTCATGACAGGGACTTTTGTTGTTTTTAAGTTGATTCATTTTAAGATGAATCATAAATAAACGGTCTAGAATAATGCATAACAACTTGGTTTTCATATTATTATTATTATTATTACTATGTTTTCTCATCGTATCATTTAATGATTAAACTTGAGTCTATTCAACTGAAATATATTTTGCTGGATGACTTGAAGATATTTCAAAAGCTTACACAATGAGTCTTCTAAATAAACAACATATACTCATGATACGGCTGAAATCCGCAGGTTTAAACTGCAAGATGAGTTTTGCTTTGAAAAAAAGATCATTAGAATAATTAAAATAAAGAAATATATTTGAATGATTTCTGAATTATTGAAAAAGCAATTGAAAACTAACTTATTGCTTTTTAGTGTTTCTCTAAGACCTGAGGTGAATTCAGTAGATTTATGACTGACTTTACATGAACCTTTTAAGGTTAATTACATTCAAAAAATATTGTTTACTGTTCAGTATTTATTATGCTCAGCTGATTTTGTAATAAAACTTGATTTCATTAACACTGATACGTCATTTACACACAAACACACACAGAAGAAAATGACAATAATCAAACTTACGTAGATAAAATATTTGGTTTTCTATGTCTTTCTAATAATCCAGTGTCTATAATTAATATACGATAACCGGGATATTGAATAATAACTGATTTGCCTTCATATTTATCGTTCTCATCATCAAGTACAGTTACATCATTTGTTTTTACTACAGTGAGCGTAGAAAAAGCCATTATGTTTTAGTATTGAATTTTCGTAATAATGACTTTCATGATAAGTGAAAAAGACACTAAATAATTGATCATGTACATAAGAAATGTTTAGTTTTAGGGGAAAAATTATGTTAAAAATATCATGTGATGCCAAGAACAATAAATGTAAACAACTGCACCATAATCCAATGCCAAATAAATGAATATCAGTTAGATTTACTAACTGAAAACTATAAATTTACCTAATCAGCTTTGAAATAAACGTGATTGGTTAAATATCAACCAATCAGATTGTTAATTTCAATGAAAATATCTAGACACAGACCGAATATAATCTAGACTATGTATTACAGATATTTTATATATTTGGTTGATTGATGTAAAAAATAATTCTAAAGGTTGAAGCAGAAAATTTTACAAAATGATTATCATAAAAATTGGATCCAAATGAACTATGCTGATAAATGTGTGATTTTATTGAAGAAAGGCAAATGTATCTAGTAAAAAAATAATATGAAGAATTTTTAAAATCATATAATCAAAGAACGTGTTTGTTTTCAAATAGTATGCATTGTAATATAACCAAAAATATTGTTAAAATAAACAAAGATGGATAGTGGCTAGTAGTGGAATTCAGGACGCGCGTTTCGTCCTATTTGGGACTCGTCAGCTGGATGTACTTGCATCTCAGAGTTGATGTTTATTCTGGGACTCGAATCCAGTACCGTTTGCCTCACACATATGCCAATAAGAGACTGATCGATTTCAACCCTAAACATCAATGGGAAGATTCACGTAAAATAATATCAAGTGAATTATTGTTAAAATAAAGTTGATTCATTTTTCATATTTAAATAAATCACTTTTATTCATTTGTTAGATCAAATTCGATTGATTTTTCTTGGTAAATACTTTCTTTTTATCGATTTTTTTATGATACCATAGATTATAGCAAATAAACGAATCTATGATCAATAGTTTCAGGATGTTTAGTTTCGAAGTTCATCATTGATTATACTGTCAGTCATTATCTAGAAATATTGATATTCGAATAGATAACTTTAATATTTGATACTTTACATCCTTTCTTCATTAGATATTTTATTGTATAATTTACTTGTTCATTATTTATTCTATCTTAAATGATAAAATCTCATTGATACAGTCAGTTTTTGACTAGTAATTATAATTCGGTGGAATTCTCGTGATGATAATCTTCTTAAAGGTTCCATTTATCTCAATCCAATAAAAATCTCAACTCAAAACTAGATTAATTAAAGTTGTAAATACACAAATATGGAGTTTCATTTGATTGAACGACCTTTTTTTCACAAACTCAGCCAATTGAGTGAACGTATTAACGTAACGCAAACCTGACTTTACGTAAATCATTTAAAACATGCGACATGTAAATGTTTCAAATATTAAGGTGAACTGGTTTGATTTTACATTTCCTTCATCAGTTGTGCACACTGAAATAAAAATTTCAGGGATAGAAAATTTACATGGAATTGGAGATTACAGTTATATGAAACTTCTAAGAAGGAAATGTCACTTCATTCAGTTTATTATTCAAATTTCATAGTTGTTTTGTAGTGTCGGTTATTTTGTTAAGCCCACATAACTTATTCTGACTTTCGAAAAGGCCAATCCATTAATTCTACTTGAGTCATATTTTGACCTTGTTAATTATTCGCTTATTAATCTTCACTGTTTTTATATGTGCGCGTAGGTGTGTGTACACTTCTTATCGCATTAATCACATGTCTGTAACTTATTTTTGTGTAACTATAAATATTGATTAACTCTTGACTAAAGGGGATTTGGCTTACCCGCCATCTCCCGTCGTTTATCTTCACTCTGTTCCTTTCGATTCATCTACAAAATATATGTATTCAAAAGTCCATTCTCGTTATTTGACTTATTTAATTCCGTTAGTGACAAACGTTATTTAAGTCGATGATTATATACGACGATAGGCGATATATATATATATATATATATATATATATATATATATATATATATATATATATATATATATATTTCAATAACAATCAATCATGCGACCTACTTGGAGTCAGAACTCGGCCACTAAAGTGGAGAGCCCGTCAACAAGCATCGTCCGATCTAAATGACGACAAAATAAAGGGTCCCACAGTTTCACAACACCTACAGGTTAGGAAATATGAATATATATATATATATATATATATCCATAGAATAGTTCTCATAACTGATTCGACAATACCTATTTGGATTTGTTGCATTCACGCACACTTTTCTTTACTTCCAAGCATTTAACACTAAATATAAATTACTGTCGAATTTTTTTCAGTAGCTGCATACAAAAATATATTTTTGTTTCAATGAACAACGCGAGTTACTAAAGTTTTTATTAAACTATAAGAATATCATGACAAATTATCTGATCTATGATTGTGGAATATTTCCCTGAAAAAAATATTCTATGAAAATAAAACTCTTGATGTACAATGATTCACACTGATTGAAATAGACTATTCAATAACATTATTCCAACCGTATTGAATTCAACTGTTAAAGTACAAAATCTTACACTTTATCCATTCTTAGCTTTAAGCTATCATATTTAAATTTAGCCAATTCTTACTGATACTCAAATAGGTATCAATGCCAAGGTTGAACTTGATAATTTCAAATAAATTGAACATTAGATCGAAAGTTAATAATACATATATATATATATATATATATATATATATATATACATTTTTTGTCACATACCAATAAGTTGAAAAAAATTGTATTTCCGATGTTTCGTGATTTAATGTAAGCCACTTCTTCAGAGTAAATAAATAACTGAATTAAATTAACACAAGTTTAAATAGTAGTATTTAAAACTGGCTTATATTAAGTCACGAAACATCAGAAATACAGTTTTCTATTAATTGAGATGTAACAAAAAAATCTATATTAATTATTAATATTCAATTAGAGATAATATAAATGAAATATAATATGATCAACGATATACTACAGTTGACAAATAAATATACTAGAATATTGTTTATGATTTGATAAATTTTGAAATTCGATACTTTCTTCCTCTTCTTCTTGATCTTCATCAAATTAAATTATTATTAAGATTCTGTTGATTACTTAGTTTTGGGCAAAATTCTTAAATTTTTTTTCTAAAAATTATTTGATTGGTTGTAATCAACTAATAATCCCCAAATTTAGAACATTAACCAATAAGAAGGAAATTATGGTATTCCTTCTATTCTATTTGATACTCAAAATAGAATTAATTAACTGATATATTCAAAAGATATTTATATATTTCTGGTGTATAATTATGCTTGTTTGAAGTATGCTTTTGATTATTTAAAAGAATTCATGAAATTTATAAAATAATTGATGAACCATAAAATGTTTACATATGATGTAATGTTTAAAAACCATTTTTGCAATATATGTTAAGTACTTATGTGGTCTTATTTTTTATCAGTATAAGGGTTGTGAAGATTATCAAGTTTTTGATTGAGATCATGAACCAATTGATGTTAGACCACCGTTGAAAATCTGAAAGAACTGAACGGCCGTTTCATTCTATTGTGAGACTCTTCAGCAGCGCACAATCAGGATCCTACTCGCGGGGCTCGAACCCAGGGCATTCGGTCTTGCGCGCGAACGCTCAACCTACTGGACCACTGAGACGACATCCAATGGCGTTAATGTCTAGCCTAAACTGATCCATTGTATTGAGGTAGATGCCTGTCTCTACCCGATACGGATTGGCTCGAACGGTCACGGCTTCTCACGAGGACTCCGAGAATTCACTCACGAAACTAGTCACTAGTGAGCACATAATCATTATCAGTATAGGGGTTGTGGAGTAAATATAATAAGTAAGCTAGATACTGTATGTGTGTGTATGTGTTTACATGATGGAAACAGAAAAAATCCAGGAATATGTTCAGTCATTAAAAAAGTGAAATATTCATTAGTTAATGATGGATAATGGCTAGCAGTGGAATCCAGGACACGTGTGTCGTCCTATTTAGGACACATCAGCTGGATGTACTTATATGTCAGAGTTGGTGTTCACTGTGGGACTGGAATCCATTACCGTTCGCTTCAAACGCCATCGCGTTATCCACTCAGCTACTGAGTCCTGATAGCCACTTGTTTGTGCAATAGGGTGAAGTTTAAATTCGCCTGATATTGTTTTACTTGAATCTTCCCGTTGATGTTTAGGACTGCGATTGATCAGTCTCTTATTAGCATATATGCGTACTGTGCGTATTGCCTCGATATTGCCTTAATTTACAAGCATTATAATGCTTGTACATTTTGATTCTTACCCAACAAACACTTCAGCTTTCTCCTGTCTTCGGATTTGCGACTGTTGGGTTCTATATGTTCGAGTGTTGTAGTTGTATACCGTATTCTATGTTAATCAAGTAGCAAGCATAACATTAGGACTTGTGAAAAATTTAATTTTACGAATTTAATATTATCAAAAGTATCAATATATTTCAGTCATAAAGTAATTTTTAACACACACAGATCACAGTTAAAAATTATGTAATAAACTTCAACTTTTTTTCTACAAAAGAAAACTACATGATAAATTAAAGCACTTTGAGAAATAACCATTGACGAGATGAATATCAGTGATTTGAGAGATAACTTAATCAACAGTCTTAAACATTTGAAATACAATCTTCGTAATCAAAATTTTGAGAATGAGATTGAATAAAACTACATATTTATGAAATATATTATCTTAAAAATCTAATAAACAAACTCGACTTTATCATTAAGTATATCATTAAGTATAGAGAAAACACACACTGATATAACACAAAGCTTCTTTCCTAAAACTACATTTTAAAATAGTATCTCAAACAAACTTATATCGATTCTAGTCTTGATAATCCATGTGAATCCATTTTATTTGTTACACTTTGTTGGATTGTTATGAATTCATTAAAAAATATTTATTTCAATAGTTGAGTCAGTTGAAGATAGACCAACATGGAAAACCTCGAAGTACTGGGCTGTCATTTTGTTCTATTGTGGGACTCCTCAGCAGTGCGCATCCACGATACCGCCCCACGAGATTCAAACCCGCTTCTCCTCTAGACCGCCTGAGCCGGCATCTAATTGTGTTAATATCTAACTTCAACTAACCCGCGAAATTGAGCGACACATCCACCATTG